GAAATCCATTTATTTAAATTTCACTATTATTTCTTTACAAATTGTACAAATATTCATATTAATCTTATTTTTACAATTGATTTATTTATGGATATGTGTTAATTTTACTAAGGATTTATATTGTTGATAAGCAATGATTGAAGAATATATATGACAATTGGTATTATTTCTCATAAGCAGCTTAATTGTTTAATTCTACATTGAAATGAAATTTTATTCCAATGATTCATGTGTGGAAGAAATGATAATTAATTTGAATAATGAAAAAATGATAGCTAGACAATATCTGAAAGTGAAGATTTTGAAACTATTTTTCTTACTCCATGCACACTTAATTTTAATGAGGGAGACTTAGTTCAGAACGCTAGATGCTAATAGCAGTTTCGTTAGCCCCTGGTGCGCCATGATACATTTAGTTAGCAAAGTGCTTGTAGGAGATGTTAGCCTCGTGCGAAGGATAATGCATGTGGATTGGAGTGATGGTAATTCGTGAGCACTATACTCATACTTGTTTTTGTGGGCCTTGTGTCTACGCTTGATATGTGGCTTTTGCTGCGCTTGTTTCGTAGCTTTTAGCCACGCTTGATTAGTTACTTACTCTTGTAGACTGTATGTCCATGCTTGATTGATTGTTTTCTCTCGTGAACTATGTGTCCACGCTTGTTATTTATTCTAATAAAGCCCTTCTAAATTTAATTTTAAGTTTATCAGTTATCTATTAATCTTCTAAAAGTATTTTATTGAACTGCACTATTATTGAAAATGTTTGTACTTTATGAGTTGTATCTATTTTTAAACAGTTATGTGATTTTAATAGAAGTTGGTTACTTTTGTAGTTACATCACTGAGAAAAATTGTTGTTTATTGCTAGCTTACGTATATGTTTCATTAGTTTATCAAGTCATTTTGGATTAAATTTATTAGTTCCTATCTTTATAAGTTCTTTAAAATTTACTAGAACACTACTCACTAAAAATTTTTTTAACCTCAAATATCGTAGCTAATCCTATATCTCCTGTGGATCATGAGGGACCCTATTACTTTTTGAAAAGAGGAAGCACGTGGTGATTATTCTTTTTGTTAAAACTTTATGCTGTATTTTGTAAATTGTAAGTTAGTGCTCCATATACACCATAGTTAGGTCCTAGTCTTATTTTATTATTATGTGAATTATGGAATGGAGCTAGTCTCCATGCTGGTTTGGGTGATAGGTTTTGTTGTTGTAAAAATTTTAAGAGGTCTAAATTATAGAGGAGATTCTACTGAAATTTCTACAAAATATTTAAAACTTACAAACCTTATTATTATATATAACTCACATATATTGATTGTTTTTAGTTAATATCTGGTTAATCAAGGCTTATAGATTATGAGTTTACCTCATATTTTATGCCAATCATACCCTTAGTATCGGAGTGTGACACAAGATAAGGTCTTTCGGACACCCTGAACCTTTTGATCTTCGGTATGTTGCTATTAGAAATGAGGACTATGGGATGTATTGCTACATAGGAAACTACCTTAAGTTCTATAATGCCATAAAGCATTACTACACGGATATTCACATAATATCGAATTGTGATGCGGCTGCTGCTCCATTAAATCATCCGGCGAATTTGTTTGATTTCAATGTTCATACAAGCTCTAAAGTTATCTTCTCAACGTATAACAAATTTGATTCTTTGAATCGTGTTGATCCAAAAGCATTTGCAAGTGAGTATGCTATTTGGCAAGAAGATGCTGGATTAGGAACCCTCTTGTCTACCTTGGGTGAAGCTACGTTCCTTGTGGGATTCGAAAAGAACAGGTTAGTTGTTCTCTTGATTGTGAAATTTTCTTAATGATATTATTTAGTCGGTTCACAACTTACTTAATCCATATATGCTGACGAAACTTACTTAATCCATATATGCTGACGAATATCCTTTCTTGATGCAACGCAGTGATGTTGTGGGAGTGGTCTGCTATGCACCAGTTTTGTTAATATAAATGACAAGAAGTAATGTGTTCAATATTTTTCTTTTTGAGATTTTAATATATTCATGTACTTGTATAATACAAGATTGGGATTGTGTCATTTTGTGTGGACATATGTAGGTGGATACCAGACGCAATTGTATTTGACTCATATCGGTGTTATGGAATTCCAAGCTATTGGTTACAACAACTCTTCTCATGATCCAATGGAGCTACATATATTAACTCAATACTTGAGGCCCCAACATCAATTGTCACATCGGCTATTGTTTAGGAAAATCAAGAGAACAAAGAGTAATCTGAGAATCAATGTAATGCACAGATGATCCATCTTGCTAGAGTTAATCGAACGCTATATAAATAGGTCATTCTCATCTGAAATCCCAAATATTTCTTTAGGTTGTGAACTTTGATGACAAGAATGCGACCCTTGGTATTACAATTGATGGCTTGGACTCAAATGCGAATTCCTCTGGATCAACTTTTACATTACTCACATCTACCAGTGTCAAGGATGAGAATTCCTTTTATAATCCCAAGAAGGCATGATACTTATGTAATTCTAACTATTGTTTCATCTTTCATTTATAGGTAAACCATAAAAACTTTAAACATTGGAAAATAAAGAAATGATATAATCAATGAGCCACATGCTATTCACAGTTCGTGAATACTTTGGTTCTTTTCTTAAATTTTATGCAACGCAATGGCCCTAGCTGTAAAATATTAACTCTATAACCACTAGAAATATATATAGAACATGCATTCGGATCATATTTTACACTCCATATAATAAACAAGGGTCACCTACTTGGAGTGAAATGCTTATTCCAAAGTCATTCTCTCACACAAGTTTTCGTACCTCAAATGTGTAGGTTGTACCGCAGGTGGATCTTCTTCAAAATCCTCGCCCTAGTATGACTGTTGTACTTCCTCCAAATTCAGTGGCTTCATTTGAATTTTCAAAATGATCGACCAACTTGAAAAATATATGAAAATGTTCACATATTGGACAAAACTAGAATATGTAAATGTAAAAATGTAAGACAATAGATGTGCGTGCATGTGTGTGTGATGTGTGTATTGCTTTTTTTATTACTAACCATTGCAAAGCATTAAACAATGTTTTACTACTTCCTCCGTACGGTTATTTATTCTTTGTCACCATAATTTCCCTTTTCATGTTTGTACTCATAAATCATTGTGTTCTCAAACAAAATGGCATCATTCAACATAATTTGTCTTTTTACTCTGCACGACATGGAAGTAAATGCGGTTATGTGACTAATTTTTTGAATAACAAATAAAACATTTATAGGAGATTTCAAGTTTTATAAATATCCTAAAAAATTATATGTTAGACATAAATGTTATAAAAACCTGTAGTGTATATATTATTTTTGCGTTTGTTAGATTTAAATGCTTCAATTTTTCTCACCATGGCTGTGTGTTCAACATCTATCTTCCATTTTCAAAAGATTCAACGTAATTTTACATTCGTTGTGAATGTCATTATCTACGACGTAACATAGCGCTACAAAAAAATTGGTCGTATAAGGAGATGGAAGTAACCAACGTCAATTGTCATATTTCTCAATTTCTGAAAATTAAGCATCATATTATGATCTTGATATGGCTATATATCCTCCTTTGAACGAGTTTCAAAAGAACTTATTCATCATTTAATGTACAGACTTAGGCTCATATATTAAATTCAAAGATAATAGAGCCTTCAACTGGATTAAAATAAGAAGACTTAACATATTTTAATTAGATAAATCATAAATGACATGGTGCTCTCGATCTGCCCAAAAAAATTTCGTATTATAGGAGAACATAATTTACCCACATTGAATATTAAGAAGAAAGGTCAGGGAAAATATTGGGCCAATGTAAACCAGTAGGCCAAGGAGGTTACTAAATCTTGTGAAGGGTAAAGGGCAAGTTCTCAAATTTGGTAATTGATCAGCACGCTTGGGCCAATCAAGAATAAAAACACCAACCTAAAGTAATGACATTCTCTAATGGCAAAGATAAAGATTTATAAGACGAACTAGGCAATCATATTTCGCATAAGGTGATTGACTGCTAGATGATGCATCAACAGCTTATATGTATTTAGCTTTAGACTCACACCTAATGACTTCATTCCTGAAAAAATACAATGAAAATATTAAAATACCCGTAGTACATAAAACGATCCCTTACAATTTTCTTTATATATATATATATATATATTAGTGAAACCAATTATCCACTGGAGGAGTGAGGGTTTTTACCTACTCAAAAGCTTAGATGCATTTTTACACTTGGCAAAAGCACAATTTCCAATCACATATAGCGAACTGATTGTATATACAAAGGAAATCTGAACAATTCATTTAAAATTAATTATATCAATATTTCCCTAATAACATTTACACTTGGCAGAAGCACAATTCCCCATAAAGAACTGAAACTTCTGTATATAAATAGTTCCACAAATTGGATATGAAGAACGAAAACTCAACAATTCATTTGGCAATTCCAACTTCTCCATCCATGGATGAAATTGGAAACAGAATCACTGAGCTTTTTCATGGCCAAGCCCAATTGTACAAGGTCATGTATCTTTGGATACCTTCTTTATCTCTCAAGTGTGCCATTGATCTTGAAATACCAAAAACATAATCCACAAGCATGGCCAAGCTCTCCTTCTTTCTCAGTTGGTGACAACTCTCAACGTTCCACCCTCTAAGCTACCTTTGTGAAAGGGCTCATGCGCTTGCTGGCTCACAATGGCCTCTTCACTATCATCGAAAACGACAACACTGAAGAAGCATATGATCTCACCACTGCATCACAACTTCTTGTGAGTGGCACAGACCATTGTTTATCTCCCATGGTTCAGTTGGCAACATATCCTTCTATGATTGATTTGTATCATCACATGGGGAAATGGATTCGTGAGAAGGAAAAGACAGTGAGAGAGACATTATGTGGCATAGGTTTTTTTGACTTCCTTAAAACAAAACCCAGCAGATATGGCAGTGGTCCAGAGATCCAAGAAGGAAGCTAGTGATTCGAGATTCCTTAAAGTGACATTGATTAGAGACTTGGATTCTGTTTTTGATGGATTGGGCTCCATCGTTGATGTTGCTGGTGGTAATGGGACCGTTGCTAAGATTATCTGTGAAGCATTCCCAAAGTTGAAATGCACAGTGCTTGATCTTCCTGTGGCTGTTTCAAACTTAACTGGAAACACCAATTTGAGTTTTGTTTGGTGGGGACATGCTCAATCCATCCCTCATGCTGATGCTGTTCTGATGAAGGTATCTATATAACTTCAAAACAAATACATTCTCTCCTTAAATTATATACAGAAAAAAAAAAAACAATTATCTATCAATTTAACATCTTACATCTATAACTCTCCTAGTTTTTCTCTTATGGTGTGATTTTTAGATATTAATTTTAATTGATACACACACACATGCATGCTAGCTCTGCTTTTAATCAAAATGTTCGAAACTAACGTTTGAATATTATATTTTCAAATTGTGAACAAAAAATTCAATTAAGATGCATTGGGGAGGAAGAGAACAAGAGAAGCTCACTCAATGGACCCTATTAATTAACAATCTCCCCATTTGCATAAATTTGTTTGATTTTTTTTTTTAAAAAAAAAAAGTTGACGTCCGAATTTGTACCACGTCAAGAACTATTTCAACTAGCTAGGATCAGATTTATTATAATATGAAGCAATGTCATGTTAGCTAAACGTTATAAAGTGCATAAAGTTATAATTAAAAAAAAAATGAAACACTAAAGGGATGCTAAATTATTATATTCTATTTTCTCACCATTTCAAATTTTACAGTCAGTCTTACTCGATTGGGATGATGATGATTGCATAAAGATACTTAAAAATGCCAAGGAAGCTATATCAGGCAAAGGAAATGAAGGAAAAGTGGTCATCATAGATATGGTGATGATTGAAAAGCATGACCAGAATGAAATGCTGGAAACAAAGCTCTTACTCAACATGATCTTGAACGCTGAGCTTAATTCAAAATTGAGATCTGAAGAAGACTGGAAGCAACTTTTCCTCAAGGCAGGCTTCACACATTACAAGATATTCCCTATATTTGGCTTAAGTCCTTATTGTCCTTCATCCTTAGATCTGCTTGGAATCTATAATAACTTGTTTTACTTGTCTTAAACTGAATAAATTTGCGGTGGAATAAGAGGAGCTAAGGTATTTTTCTGCAATTTGTCATCATCCTACGACAAAAACAACAAATACATCTGTTGTCAATATCCATGCATGAGATTGAGTATAGTCTATGTTGTCAAGTGCCATTATCTGCAACATAGCGCTATAAAGAAACTGGTCGTATAAAAGAATACAGGACGTGGACGTAACCGACACAAACTTCTACATCACATGTATTAGAGTAAATGTGTATTTTTACCTTTAAAATATATCTGACAAGCAACAAGACCCTAAACTATTAATTAGAATAATTTATCTTTAAAATAATTAAAATAGAGCATTTTTGCTTTTGTCATTAAATTATTTAATAGTTAAAGTTAGCATTTTCTAACTATCAAGTTAGAAATTGACTGTAGGTTAAAAATATTATATGTCAATTACTTAAGGTAAAATTACTCAAAGCAATAATTTAAGTTGCTAAGTGCTCCTTGAAAAATACTTTAGGAGCACAATTGCACTTTTATCCTATATATTCCTCCCTTGCTTGTGATTCCAGAAGTTTGCCATCATATATGTACGGACATGGCTCATATTAAACTTAACTTAGACGGATATTTGAAAAAAAAAAAAAAACTAATGGGCAATTGTGATAAATGAGGATTTCTCTTCAGACATCACAGCTTGATGTTAACAAGTTGACTATGACGAGCATTAAGGGGTCTTCAAAGTATTGTGCGAGATATTGTTATTAAGCATGGTCA